GGGGTGGGGGGGTGGTGTGCGTGGGGCGGGGGTGGAACGGCTGCTCTGGCAATGGCATGAGCCTGGCAGCCAGAGCCCAGCAGCAGCAAGCACAGAGCTCCTGACGAGCATCTTTAAGTGCATTACAATGTGGGTTCGGCATTCACGAATATTTGAAAACGCGACTGCTGAGGCCACAAATAACGAGGGTTTCCTGTATTTTCTCCTTGTAAATTAACCCACTGGCAAATAAATAAGCCTTTTCTCATATGTGCAGTAATTTCATGTTATAAGTAGAAAAAAGTCAAGTATGTTATTTTTAAATGTATTGCTCAAACAAAATGATTAAAACTTCTAGCCCACAATTATTAAAGAATCAGACAGCGCAGCCCAACTACTGCCTTCTGTATCAGGAAGATAGTAAATTGTTATGTAAAACAACTACAATACCTTGGAAAGGAAAACAAGTTTGGTTTTGCTGACGTATTTTGTAATAAGTTATAGAAAATTGTTAAAAGTGGAATAATTAGCGTTTTGATCCTTCCTGCTTTGCTGGAGACAGGACTGCATGACTCTCCTGCGTCACTCAAAGTCTGAGGTTAAAAGTTAATAGCTCACCATTACCAGTTATATGTATGACCAATTTGTTCTGTGCGTCTATACGGGTGCACATGAGCGAACACTCACACATGCTCCTCTCTCAAATTAATGCAGTGCTTAGAACTATTAAGAGAGTCACAGTAATTGCACAATCAATAATATGAGTTACATCCTTGACAGCTGGTTCTTGTTAGAGGCACACCAATGGATATTTGTTATGACAGCACCTAAGAATTACCAACGGAGATCAGGGCCATGCCATGCTAGTCAGTATGTAGCCAAAGAGGGAGACAGCCTATGTCTGAGTTGTTCAAGAGAAAGGAATGAGATGATGGCAGGTGGAATGACAAAGTAACAAAAGAGTCCTCACCAGAAATCGGAAGTCTATTTGCCACACTCCTATATAATGCCAATGTCATCATTTATAATGATCATTTTCACTCTGCTCCGAACAACTTCTATACATGCTGCGTTAGTTCAGAGACTTACCACCTTCCTGAGGTATGGCTTCATGTCAATTCACAGCAGAACATGAACTTCAACCTAAGCTTTCCAAACACAGCTTGACCAGGTTTCTTTCCATGCTACCCTGAATAGATGGCCATCTACACCTCTTGTACAAAGTTTCTAAGCTATTCGCACCACAAAATGGCAGTGTAATTTCTCAGCCTGTTTTTGTAGGCAGGTCAGTCGATCTTGCTAACTGCTTACAGTCCCGTTTCAGGAGAGGCCAGGAGGAGTTTTCAAGTAGAAGATTAAATTTTACATTGTTCACCCTCAGACCTCTGAGAGAAGATGACAAAAAAAAAGAAAGGCTTGAAGAACTGGTTGGCAAAAAGCCCAAAAACATTTTGGAGGGCTTGATCCTATGGATGTCATGGGCAGCAGGACAGAAAATTCACCAGCTCATTTCTACAGCTCTTACCATGTTTCCCAACCTGTTTATGGACCAGAAGGTACAGCAATTAGTGCTGAGAAATTGGCTGATAAAGTAGCCTTCCTAAGATCATACACTTCAGACTGCCTCAACCATGATGAGACTTGTCCTTTATTCTTTTAGTGTGGAATTCACCTTTTGCTGATTGTGGGGTTTTTGCTGCACCTGAATCCCATTTACACTCCCACACAAGGAGGAATTGAGATCTTGGCCTGTTCTTCTGCACAGGGTTGTTTTTTGCCTTGACTAAATATTCTCAACACTAAAACCATATACAATTAGTGCTTCCAATCTTATTTGAATAATTAAAAGACATCAAATGCGGACTATCATAAACAAAAAGTACTTCTGTTTAATCCTGAATGCTCTATTTTAATGATCAGAATTAAGTCTGATGCGAGAAGCAATGCATACAAAACACCTTCCAAAAAACTGTTCAGACAAATTATGCAGAAGAGAGTTTAGTTTTATAACTCAGTTTATAACTTCCAGATGATTCATGAGGAGCTAAATGGCAGTTTTAAGAAAATGACCTGTTATCAACTATAAAATGTTTTAATTTTCCACCAAGAACATTTAATGTGTTTGTATGTAAAAAATGTCTTCTTTAGGAAAAACCAGAATTCCCCTGCCAGTTCTGTCTTCCTTGTTTGAAATGCAGCTAAAAAGAAATTAAATACCTATTATTCCACTATCTGCAATTTTTTTTGTATTTGCATGTACACATTTAAAAGCATCCACCGCTCTCTCTAATCCTTTGCAGTCTTGAACAAATGTATAAGGAGCAGTCTGAACCTTTGAAATGTACTTGGTTGAACAATAAGTGGGTTCGTTTCTTTTTAAAGGTAACACATTTAAGGTCTCTTAATTACCATTAAGCTTCCATGGAACCCAAATGAGAATATTTTAGACATTTTTATTGAATTCTCCATTACTTTAAAGATTACTTTCTGTCATCTTCCCCTCACATTTCAGAACAACTGAGGCATTAGCATTGGTATGTGCAGTTTGCTCTGTTTAGCTGAAATGGGCAATAACCTGAATTATTGCTGTAAAAAGGATGTCAGAACAAACCTCAGCAGTCTATTTTGAAGCTGTTATACTCAGAATTCATTTGTGTACCAAACAGTAGCCAAAATATTTCAAAATAACAACTATACGTTAGCAAGAAAACTTTTGCATTTTGATATTAGGATACCCGGCTTTTAGCTTTGTATACACATGTGATACTGGGACTTAAGAGTCGGTACTGAAGACAAAAGATAACACATGGGATGAAAACAGACAGATTTATATCTCAGTCATAATAAGGCTTTCACAGAACTGATAATCAAGTTGGCCTCACAGTCAAGACATCAGAGGTCTTGCGTAAAAACAGCGTTTCAATCTTGTCTGGAGTAGCCAAGATCATTTACACTCCCAATATTTAGGTGCAGCTACTTTAGGCTCCATTATATACCCAAGTCAGTCAAAGCCACCTTGCACCTGAGTCCCAAGCTCAGCCATGCTTGAAATAACATGCACTCAGACTTGTTCATCTCCTGCCATAACCCAACAAGAACTAACAGCCCCATGCAAAACAATGGGGTTGCAGCATGAGCCCCTAAAAGAACATGGTACCTCAAAGACATGTTATAAGCTACTGTCATCTCCTAAAAGAAAATGCAATTGTTTTAAGCTAAAATATGCATATTTAATATCCACTAAAAAAAAAAATTGGAGTATTTAGAGCCAGCCACTCCCAGTGAGTCCATATGAAATAAAACAGAATAATCTGCATACCATTCCCATGCATGTTTAATACAAACACA